TACAGGAATTTTACCCCATATATAAATATACATATATAATATATATACAAAAAATATAAAAATGAATAAATAAGAAAAAAAACAATAGCCAATAATACACGTAAAGATGATTTTATAAGTCGGTAAGCCGACTATTTTGCGCTTTTTGTTCTGTAATTTATTTTTTTATCTCTGAAGGGCATAGTCGTCGAATAACGCATTTCTATGCTCTGATTAATTGTTAAATCATTCGCTCCATATTTGATTTTTCTATCTCTTGCACGTCTCAGAATGTGGTACAGGATAGGTACATTGTCTACATTTTGAATATATTTATACTTATCTAAATAGATAAATGTTTCGGGCGTTAAGTATCCATTTGACACTAAGCTTCTCATAGACGCCTAATCTTTTTCGAAAGGTATCGCTATTAGAAGATTATTACTATGGTTGTTTAGGGCTTTTGCAATGTGATCTCGCACAAGGCCCAAAATAAATCCATCCAAACGAGGTATGATTGCCAAATTGCATATTTTCGAATTTGAGAGGTATCTCTCGAAGCCAGTATCAGGATCTTTAAATTTCCTGAGACATACTCGGAGACAATTTTTTGTCTTCTAAATTTCTAACAAAAGACCCTAACCAACATAACTAAACGACTAACTGTCTGAGGAAACAAAAAATCTTTTTCTTTGATACCAGTCACAAGGGTAAAAGGCTCAAAGGAGGATAAAAACGTAAATAAATTACCAAAATTACGTTTGTGCAGGCGCGAAAGAGTTTGTGTTGTATTAGAGTAAGAGAGAGAGAGTGACGTCACATGAAGTGCTCTCTCTCTCTCTGTCGCATGGAGTGAAACAAGAGCGAGTGAGATGACGTCACCTGGTGGTTCCGGCATCCGTACCATAACCGACTCGCTGAGAGTGACTCCCGGTATCGGTGTAGGTGGGCCGTAAACGCTTTGCGGCTCTTCACGTAACGTAAACGCTCGATAAGAGTGACTCCCCGTACGTTTACGTCAGTGAGGCGGCACCTGGTGGTCACGTCACGTGATGACGACGATGAGAAGCGTAGCTTACGGATTGTCTGGCGAATATTGCTGGAGGGTTACCCGTATCCTAACGACTCGCTAAGAGTGACTCCCCGTATCGTTAGGCGGGTTTGCGTGCTCTTCGTGTCCGTACCTTAATCGACTCGCTGCGAGTGACTCCCGGTATCGGTGTAGGTACGATAGAGGCTCTGCACGTAACGTAAACGCCCATAGAGAGTGACTCCCCTTACGATTTACGTTAGTGAGAATGCAGGGTTTACCCGTAGCCTAACGACTCGCTAAGAGTGACTCCCCGTATCGTTAGGCAGGTTTATGTGTTCTCTGGGCCCGTACCGTAATCCGACTCGTAAAGAGTGACTCCCCGTATCGGATAGGTGGGCCAGAGACCCTGCACGTAACGTAAACGCCCGTAGAGAGAGACTCCCCGTACGATTTACGTTAGTGAGAGTGTGAAAGAGGGTTAGGGCCTGAAAATAGAAATTGATTAGTAGGTCTACGGTAGTAGGGTGAAAGAAAAGTAGAAAAGTTCAGTTGAACGAACCTTTATTTAAAAGTGCGCAAGAGACCTACACGCCGCTAGGCGGCAAATCTCGACTGCATCTCGACTGCGAGTGAAATAATAACTACATATTTACTACAGAACAGCGCTCGTAGCGTTAAACAATAAGAACTAAATTGAAAACTTATATATATATATATATATATATATACACTACCGTCCGAAATTGTGCGAACGCTTACACCGCGAGTCATTGAAAAACATACTCGCGTGAAAATAAAGATAACTCTGAGAGAAATTAACGTAGAGACTTTTCCCTTGTAGCGTTGGAAAGCTTATTAAATTTCGAAAAAAATGATACCTATTTGAATGAGATTGCTTAAATAGGTTTAAATATATCATGTTACAAAGTTGAAAAAATAATTGTAATTTTTTGCTTATTTCCTACCTTGACTTTAACCTCTTGCATGGTCCAGGAAAATCGACGAAAAAAATTGTCCTTTAACATAATTATTCCTTGAAATCTAAGCTTTCCATTGATTCCAAGAACAATAAAAAATGTTGACGGGTTTGCCAGTAATTGAAAAAAAAGGACGAGCGTGCAGGAAAAAAAATTCGACCGTCAATCGCTCGATTTTCCCGTCTCGCTGCCTCTTTCGTTCGTGCGCCAGGGCCGAAACAGAGGATTTTGATTAGGCGCTTTCCGGGCACCATTAATTTCATTATTTTTGCCTTTTTGTGAACATAAATTATTTGTATAACGCGAAAGATATCATAATTGTGTTATAAGTTAATTATACAGTTATTAAAATTAAATAAATGTAATAAAAATTATATATTTTATTATTAAAAAATTCAATTTGACCAACGAGGTTTTTGATTCTTAATAATAAATTGTTGAAGGATTATAAATATATTTTAATTTTTACAAAACTTTAATTGTATAATTATTTTATTTATGATTGATTAAAAAATTAATATCTCTATGTATGTGAAATATTTTAATAATGAAATATATAAGTTTTATTACATTTATTTAATTTTAATAACTGTATAATTAACTTATAACACAATTATGATATCTTTCGCGTTATACAAATAATTTATGTTCACAAAAAGGCAAAAATAATGAAATTAATGGTGCCCGGAAAGCGCCTAATCAAAATCCTCTGTTTCGGCCCTGGCGCACGAACGAAAGAGGCAGCGAGACGGGAAAATCGAGCGATTGACGGTCGAATTTTTTTTCCTGCACGCTCGTCCTTTTTTTTCAATTACTGGCAAACCCGTCAACATTTTTTATTGTTCTTGGAATCAATGGAAAGCTTAGATTTCAAGGAATAATTATGTTAAAGGACAATTTTTTTCGTCGATTTTCCTGGACCATGCAAGAGGTTAAAGTCAAGGTAGGAAATAAGCAAAAAATTACAATTATTTTTTCAACTTTGTAACATGATATATTTAAACCTATTTAAGCAATCTCATTCAAATAGGTATCATTTTTTTCGAAATTTAATAAGCTTTCCAACGCTACAAGGGAAAAGTCTCTACGTTAATTTCTCTCAGAGTTATCTTTATTTTCACGCGAGTATGTTTTTCAATGACTCGCGGTGTAAGCGTTCGCACAATTTCGGACGGTAGTGTATATCTAACATTATAAATTATAAATAAATTATAAATCATTATAACAATAATATTTATAATTAACAATCAATAAAATTACAATTATTATAATAACAACAATATTATAATTATTAATTAGTTAATCACAAATTATTACAATAGAATAATTATTTATAATAAATTATAAGTTATAATTCATATATATAGATTAAAAAACATTAAACCTCGAACATAACCTTTTTTATAAACAAATTAACTGAAAACTCCGCTCGGAAAAGTATCCGGCGAGCAGGAGGTTTAAAGAAGTGACGCGTTGACAGCAAAGGGCCTGACGCGTGGAGAGTGGGAGAGAAAAGCGGGAGATAGGAGAGAGGCGCGGCGGTGGAGTTTGGTTGGGAAAGCGTAGCAGACCCGTTAACAATGACTCAGCCAAGGACAAGAAATTCATGAAGAATGAGCAATTTTGACTATCTTCATGAATTCTAGTCACCCCTATCAGTGACATGTATCATCTTATGATGCAAGCCAGTGCAAGCTATGTTCCCAATCAGCACGAAAACACGCAGCAAACTTGCAGGAAGTTTGCCGTGCAAGATGTGCAAGTTTGCAGTGCAAACATGTAGCAAGTTTGGTGCAAGCAACTAAATGTCCTCTTATGGCAAGCTTGTACGACAACCTTGGAGAAAACTTGCAAGAAGCTTGTATAATTTTTAAAAAAATTTTAGAAACAATTTGTTTGGAAATAAACATAAGTACATATAAAGGGCGCACTGCTTTGGAGGTTAAAAAATTTATTGCGCAACCGTAGGACCTTCCGTTTACAACTGCGCATCGTGTTAGGTTTTGCAAACTTGAACGAAGCTTGCTCCAAGGTTGCCGTGCAAGCTTGTCGTAAGAGGACATTTTTTTGCTCCCGCGTAGCGTCGAAATTCTCGCCAAGCGTTGATTCTTGAATCAGCGGCGGCGGCGATATCTTTTTATAATATGTGACGCTCCACGAGAAAAGGAACCTAATATTGTCGGAAAAAATAATAAATTTTTTTTCACGAATATTTCCATTTAAAATTAATTTGTTTTAACAATATTTTTGATAAAAAATTCATTTTTTTCACCAATATTTTTTGTTAAAATATTAATTTTTTTGATAAAATAATACATTTTTTTACTAATATTTCCGTTTAATAAATAAGAATTTTGCTTTTGATAAAAAAAATACAGAAAAAATTTAAAAAGAAAAAAAGAGTGCGGCCACCTACCTGCTAAAAAGTGCATGTCTATTGATTTTATCGACAAATGTTGATAATAAACTGTAATAAATTGAAATTAATAAATACGTTAAATTTTTATAATTATTTAACAATACTCACCTTAAAATGCATAAAACTTATTGATTTTAATAATTATACTATCAATTTTGTCATTTTTTATACATTTTAGACAGAATTTCAATTTCATCCTCGTGTTTCATGACAATTTATGGATAAATTTTTACTCTAAGCGAAGTTAAGCGAAGTTAAGCGATTTCTAAGCAAAATCGCTCAAAATACGATTGAACCAATCCGCCGGGGATAACCATATTTTTTGTAACATCTTTGATAGTACCGAGTAGCATAATGTTGGTACCAGATAACATCTACTTTTAACCATCTTAAGATCATATAAGATCTTATTATATATTTCTCTCCGTGTAGTTTATCCAAAATTCACTTTTTTCAGAAATTATGTACAAAAAAATTTGAAATCAAGAGTGTTGTTTTGTGACCGATTTACATCTTTTCCGGTTTGGTCAAATTAAAAAAAATATCTTTTTTGATGGTAATATTTTGAGTATTTAATAACGTATTTTTGCAGTTGAGGGTGCAACTTCTATGGATGAATCCTGGTATGTCACACCACCTGCCTGTTTCACAAAAGCGAGTCCTGTACATGTTGAAACGTCACCGTTGGAAGACTTACTTATAGAGCATCCCAGCATGTCTGTTTATAGAACTGCTAAGCATCCTATTGTACCTGATACTTCTGTTCTAACGCCAATTACTTTTGAAGAAATTGGAGAATCTACTATTCACGTTTCTGCTTCTAATATACCATGTGTTTTCTCACAACGAACCCATAAGCAAACAGGAAACATAAGCAATATAGTAAACGCTCCTCGTAAAAGAGAATATAGGATGACAAATAATGATAAAAATATTGATATTGTTCAGCTTCGATCTGCTCAAAAGGTAATTGAAAATAAAAATAGTTACAAGGCATTCCATGTGAAATATTCAAAAACAAGGTGTTCATTTTATGGCCATTTAGCATCCTCATCATAACACACTTATATTCAAGATTAAAAGAAGTAAAATGTAAACTTTATATACATCAATCGATTCGTTTTCATGCCAGGAATAAGTTTTTTACCAAATAAAACGAAATCTACAATAGACCAAATTCATTTAAAATCAGGCCTCTTATCTGATATTTAGGAAAAAAACTTTAAAGTTTTATAACTTTTAAAATAATTTAGATATCTCATTTTTTCTTTTTGCATTTGCAAGATCTTTCCTTCTTCATTCAAAATCTCGTTGGAAAAATTAAAAACTGTTCAAAAATAACAAAATGGCGACTACCCTAGTAGTAGTACGGATTTTAATTTTCTTTGTTTTAAATTAAAGGTAATTAATTTTCCAAACAATAATATTCCATAGAATATTTTTCAATCCGACCATCGCCTTAAACGCTATTGATGAATATATCGAAAATTTTTATTTAAATTTATGAAAATTTAGAAAAAAACTGGATTCTATTATTGATTACGGTTAAATAAAATTTTTAATGACCCGACTAATGATTGGTAATTAAAGTCTGATGTATAACGATAAAAATAAGCTGTCATTTAACAAAATCGGTTGAAAAATATACAAGTTATAAGCATTTTAGAAAAAAATGCAGAAATTCAATTTTTCACATTTTTATGATTAACCTGATTTTATTGAATATAGTGTTAATTTAAAATCTTTTAACATATGGATTTAACTAATGGATGATTTAGTCTTTCTTTTATGGTGAGTAGTAGTAATGAGAAACCAACAAAAGTCACCCATCATCGTTTTATCCCAAAGCACTGGTACCGATTTTCCATGGTCTTGAGTAGTTTTGTTCATTTTAACAAAGCAAGTAAACTTGTTTACGCATGTGAACAAAAGGATTTTTTTATTTTTGCTTTGACATTTCAACTAGTTTTTAATAAAAATTGTAATAAGAAAATAAACACAAATTTGCTTGTAAAAACTATTAAATTTGTTTGCAAATTTTTATTTATTAAAACAATTTCAATTTTATTCATAATGGAAAAAGAATTTTATTATAATCTGCATTCCATCCCTCGTCGGCATATCAGGAAACGACACAGAAGATTTCCTTGCAAAAACCGACTGTGTACTCCCAACTGTAGACGAATCTGCAACCATCAACAACAAATCTCATTGGAAGACCGTAAAGATCAAATATACCTTAACTTGAACACACTCATCTAACTCATCATCACCTTATAACAAGAGAAGAATCTAGTCTTTTTACCAGTGCTTAAATACCATCTCAAAAAAAAAATTCAATAGATTGTTCCCAACACAATGTGCTACAAAACAGACTCAAAATTAAAAAACAACTAAAAATTCTATTAAATGACAGTAACCAGTTACACAAAGCTTTAACTTTTAGAAAGAAAACTTTAATAAACTTAGTCTAATTTAACAATGTAACCAAAATAACCAATGTGACAAATTATAAATACATTGTATTGCCGTTTCTAATGACCCTGGCAGTCGATGCGACGTTTTAAACACTTAATGAAAAAAAATTTTATGTTATTTTTTAATTATTACTGCTTATAATAAATATTAACATTTAAATGACAAAATTAGAATATTCCTCGATTTTAAATCAAAAATTAATTTACATCATTTTCTTGAAATGATGAGCATGGTGAACGTTTTCACTAACAATTCAAGATCATGGAAAATTAGTACGAGGGATTTTGAGATGAACTGATGATAGGTGATTTTTGTTGGTTTCTCATTAGAGAAACTACTACTATAAATTTTTTCTAAATTTTCATAAATTTGAATCAAAATTTTCGATATATTTATCAAAAGCGTTTAAGGCGATGGTCGAATAGAAAAATATTTTATAGAAGGTTGTTTGGAAAATTAATTACCTTTAATTAAAAAAAAAATTAAATTAAAATCCGTCCACTGGAACCGAAGATATTGACCTTAAGTAAAACGATTTTTTTCATAGTGAAAAATGTGAAAAAACAACGATATCTTAAAAACTGTTCTGCTCTCTTCATTTAGGACTTCATTTTCGGTTTCAGCTGTTCATTTTACATGAGAAATGAGGGTTAAATGTCATAGATCAAAATTTCTGTAAACTAGTGCTATTTTAATAAAAAAAAATTAAAATTACTCAAAAACACCATTTTTTGCTCAAAATTTTTTTGTGAATTGTCTTCACCGTTAAGAATATTTTTCATAAGAATTTAACTTGTGCCCGATTCTGGTAGAAAAAAAATTTTTTTTTGTTTCTAAGAAAATTTTTGTTCTCTTCTACTAAAATCAGGCACAAGTTAAGTTCTTATTAAAAATATTCTTCACAGTGAAGACAATCCACAAAAAAATTTTGAGCAAAAAAGTGAGGTTTTCTGAGGAATTTAAGTTTAAATTTTTTTATTAAAATGGCCGCCATTTTGTTATTTTTGAACATTTTTTAATTTTTCCAACGGATTTTGAAGGAAAAATGAAAGCTCTTTCAAATGCAAAAAAATGAGCCTGATTCGAAATGAATTTGGTCAATAAAAGAAATTTTTTTTTAAATTATTCTGAATGTATTTAGAAATCCTTGTGTAGATTTTAGGTATTAATGACTGCAATAGGCATACAAAATTTCAGGACAATCCGTTAAAACGTTTTTGAGATAATTTCGCTGGGTTAGTGGAAAAAAAGGACACGTCGGATTTTCGTTGAAAAAGAGGACACGTCGCGTTTGAGTTGAAGAAAAGGACACGTCGAATTTTATATTTTTTTAAGAAAAAACCTCAAAAAAAGTGTTACCAACTTAAATTTTCTTAAAAAAATATAAAATTCGACGTGTCCTTCTCTTCAACTCAAACACGACGTGTCCTCTTTTTCAACGAAAATCCGACGTATCCTTTTTTTCCACTAACCCAGCGATTTGTATACAATATTTTGTGACACATACACATACATCTGGACATTTGCTCAGAACATCATATATGGCTAATTTCATTTAAATTGTCATATTCAGCTTCCAGAAAAGTTGAGTTGGAAAATTTTGATTTTAAGGTTGAAACTAATTTTTTTATACAGTTTAACATGTTAAATTAACAAAATAAATAGTGGTCACAAAATTAAAGTCATATATTTCTTATGGCAGACGGTTTTTTTTTGGCAGAAATCGTCATATCTTATAAAAATTTTTTTCTGTCAATTTTTGATAAAATAATAATACTTAATATAATTTGATTTGACTGGTGATAAGTATACTAAGGTTTTTGGGGTCGCTGAATCCGAATTTGAAATCAGATTTAAAATATTCAAAATGGCGAACCTAAAATAGCGACCATGAAAATTTAAAAGTTGATTCGATTCGCTTGAACCTCGTTACTTAGGAGTTTTTTGGGTCGCTAATTACGAATATGACGTCAAATTTTCAAAATTTAAAATCGTGTATCCTATTTGGCGACCCAATATGGCAGGTAATTTCAAGACTGATGGGATCTTAATACGATGAAATCAAATTTTTTGGAAGCTCTGTTTAGAACCTTATTAGGCTTATAAGTGATTTTTAACTGGACTGCGAAAGGGTTAAAAATTATATAGGCAAAATGCAAAATTTATGTCCTTAAACATTATAAACATAAAACAAATAAGCATCTATTCATTTCGCTGAAAAAATTTTTAAAAAAATTTTTTGTGGGGCGGGTTTATTTTATTGAAAAAAATTAGGGGGGAGGGTTGCGTGTACGGGTCATGTAGTACACAATTTAAGCTTTAATTTATGACTTTTTAGAAGTCTTTACCTCGTCTGGTTAAAGAGAAAAATCATATTAAACACCCATAAAAACACGTTTTTTGGGGGTTTTAAGCCCCACTTTTTTCAAAATCCTGACATGATAGGCAATTTTAAGACCCGGGATCGTGTTCAGCGTTCAAAAATACATTAGAAACCATTCTGATATCAAGATAAAAGAAAAAAGTTTTATTTTGTAGGCCTCTGTGATTTATTACGTTAACTGAAGCCATATATACAAATTTGCATTTTACTTATAACCATTACACTGTTGACATTTTGCTCGTTTTCGCTTATAAAATGAAAACGGTTATACTTATATCAATGGGGTTGGTCTCATTCGAAAGAGAATCCAAAAATACATTAAATTCCATACCGATATAAAATTCGAAATATTTACTTTCCATTTTCAAGGCGTTACACTGTTGACAGAAATTCAATTACGAAAGTGTTTCGGCTTTTTCTGCCTCCATGACAAACGAGCAGATTTATACTTATATCGTTTTCGTTTTCTTCACACACTTCGTTGTTGTGTTCTGCTGCTTATGCGATGGTAAAGAAAATTTTTTGCTCATAAGGTAATTTAAATAGCAGATAAGAGTAGGAAATTCTGCCGGCAAAACATAAAAGTACAAAAGTGAGGGACACGTCATTTTCATTTTCTGAAAATTGTATAAAATAAAGTTTAATTACCAACACTTGATTTTCCTTAAATATAGAACTAATACTTCATGAAACTTTTTTTTAATCTTGTTTAAACACTACCGTAAAATGAGGTAAAGTCGGCCGGCGCTTTAAATCATTTTAAAGTTTAACTATTACTTTTTTCCAGAAGAAATCCGAGTTTTATTAAAAATGTAGTTAGAATTAATGTAAATTAATAAATGAAATACAATATTTAAGTGTTTAAAGCGCCGGCCGACTTTACCTCATTTTACGGTATATTTTCAACATATCATTTATTTAAACCTTGAAAAGGTCTCCGGGGACGCATTACACTTATGCCTGCTTTTTGTTCTGTCAATATTATGAAAATCACTTTTATGTCCTTGTAAGTAGAAAAATTATTGGAAATTATTGCATTTTACTATATAAACAAATTAATTTCAACTAAGATTATATCAAATAATTTTTCTTGGCAAGGGACACG